GGGCTAGAGTGAGCAGAGGCGGCGGGGTTGAGAACGGCGCAGCCGGTGGATCCGATGAAGGAGCGGCAAGCACATGTGACGACCCCGGGCTTCGTCCACGGTGAAAGCCGATCCGGCCATCCACAGCGTGAAGTTGTAGTATTTCCTCAGCGACCAGCACGGATCAGCTCTAGGCATGACGAAGCGATATCGTCCTATTTTGGAAGGCCAAACAAAGTAGTTTCGCTTTCACAACGCAGCACACAGCGTCTTCACGACATGGCAGCGGCGTCAACAATACTACGGTGAGAATAAAAGTTACGCCTTCTTTCTTTGCGTGAACATTTGGGCGGCGTTATGCAAATCTTCCCACATAGTGATGTAGACATGTGGGGGCGTGTTAGAATGAGCCGTTTTAGGTAGGTGTGGTTGACTCTTAACTTTTATAAAGAATATCTCTTTGGATTTGAGACTTTAGTCTTTGCAACTTTACAGATCTTCTTTATGCACCAAGAGCTTGTAACATTCCAAAGACAAAGGAAAAATTGAATCGCATCATATGACCCCTTTAACTGTGCTCAATGGGTTTGCACTTTCAGAGCATAACAATGGTTCTTAATTAAAAGGACACTGTTTCTCTAAATGATCAAATAGTTTTGGTTGACACAATATGACACTGGTGGGTGTGGCCACACCTCAAAAGATTACTGTGTCATGGTGAAAGGTAGAAAACCCTTTGACATAAGATTTTCATTTCTAAATTAAATTATAAGGTTGCTCACTAAATGGAAACACTTATTTATGCATGATCTAAAAATATTTATTGGTATATACCATGCAAATAACATTTTATATGAACCATATTCAAATTGAAATGTTATAGCTGGACATTAAAGTTAAACTAAGTAATAAAGAAAAGAAAAGAAAAGAAAAGAAACATCTAGCTATCTAAATTACACATTTTACAAAAAGTGGCCCACTTTACCTGCAATCACCCCAAATAAAAATGAATAGTCCTTTTTTCAGTCAGTCATATTTTAGATTATTCTAACATTATGTCCTGTTCTAGAGGGACACCATTTTGAATCAAAAATAAATTAAAGGCTTTATTTTGGCTTGGGTAGAAAAAAATTGTGTAATAAAAATAAGTGCATTAGAGTAATACACATAATTCACCACAGAATGGCGACATTCAGCTAATTTCTTCTGTAACAATTTTGAAGTATCTATTAGGTTATATATTCATTAAGCTGTCATGTTTTTTACTCAGCTTAGAGATCTAAGATATTATTTCTACTAAAAGGCGATGTAAGTGATTTGATGTCACAGTAACAGTTGTATGTCTCTGCATATATATATATATATATACTCACACACATACATACACTATATAACATACATGCATGACATAACTGCCTGATTTTCTTTTTATTTCGACGCAAAATAAATTTCCATCCAATATACATAATTCTTCATCCGCACCACAAGGCGGCACAAGCGGGTTTGTCATTCAGTCTGACTTCCTCGCTGCTTGATCGACAATCACAACAACAACACGTGCAGATCCTGCTGATTATTTTGGTTTTAAAAATGTCACTTTAACAGCGCATATTTCAGCTCAATTGCAAACAAAACCGACACACAGTCCGATAAAATGCTGGAAACAAGTGTCACGCGACTCACCTGTAAGTAACTTTATAAAAGACTTTGAAAGTCTGAAAGTGTTTTTTTCAGTTTCTATATGTGTATGCAAGATATGCCTCAAAAGATTAATTTTGATGAGGTCTTTAACCTAAAATTATGTTTTTTTTTTTATGTTTGATATTTGATATTGGACTGCTAGCAATGTATTCAGACACTCACATCTTCCATGAAGGTTTATCACAGACCTTTTTTTACATGCCGCTTTCCTGCTGAACCTGTCAGACCTTCAGAATAACAAATGAATCAGTTGTTGCGTTATCTTTAAAATCTTTAAAAGGAAGTTATATATTTTAAAATTGAATAATGAGGAATCATGCTGTTTGTCTCTTTTGAAATTGTAGTCCAACTGTAAGTAATAGTCTAAATATCTCTGGCCTGTTAACCGTTAGATTGTGCTTTTGTTTTTCTTTATTATCTATGATTTAGTGATTCTAGACCACCTTGCTGCTTTACAAGATTGGATAAACGTTTTTGTTGAAGCATTTATGTATCAAATCGTTTTGAAACCCAGTGTGTGCAAACTGGGGAGAAAAGCAGATTGAACTAAAAGATTATTAAAGGTACAGCATTGCTTAAGTATAATATACTCTGCGATATTTTTACGCAGTTGAGGAATTCAATTTATGTTCTTAATTTATTTTTATTTACTTTATTTTTTAGATTTTTGAGATATGCAAGATGCCTATGTGTAATAATATCTTTATTCCTGTCTTGACTGAACAGAAGAAGTGCTGTGCTGTGGATTGTAAAGCAGAGCTCTGGGACGTGTGGACAGACAGAGACTGTAATGATGGACATCTGCTCGTGGACAGGTGATGTATCTACTGTGTGAATGTGTTCTAGTGCACTAAACATGTAGGTTACCATCATTTTCTTTCTGAGGGGCCTCTCCTGTGAAAAGCAAATGATGGTAACCTAAGCAGGTGGGGAAGGGACGGGGGATGATCATTTTTATGCAGCTTTCTTTTTATTTTCCAGTCTGTCCAAAAGCATAACCACTGCTGGTCACAGTGCGGGAAGCTCCGGGGGGAGACTGTACTGGTATCCCCCTTCTTTGGGCGCGCCTTCACACACACTCCAGCATTCACTCATATCACAGAGACCTGGCTGGGATCAAACCAGCAACCTCTGAACCCGTGAGGCAGCGCTCTTACCTGTGAGCCACAGGTCTCTTGTGAGAGCACGTGAAGGAACTTATTTTTGACTGTTGACTTGTGAGTTCCCAATAAAGAAGTTAAAGTAAGCTGTGTACGTGATATAATGAGGTGAGATTTGAACCCATGTTTCCATCTCAGGTTTGTTCTCAGAGATTCCCATCGTGGATTTCACTTCGTGTTTTAGTGACTTTGTTGGATGAGATTGATTTACAGTAAGAAACAGTGGGATTTGAACTCAGATCTCCCAGATTCAAACACAAAGTTTTATCTCTTGAGCCACTGAGTCTGTGGAGCTGTTGAGTGTTTTGAACTTAATTGAGAGATTTGTTCTAAATTATGAATAATACTTCTGGTGTTAGAACCAGGACTTTGATGCTTGAGATTGAAACGACAGAAGCTGATGTTGTGCTGGGTTGTATTTAGGGTCATTTAGTTTTTAAGTTTAGCTTAATGTAGGTTCAGGCTGAGTAAAACAATCAATGCATCTGTGGGATTTGAACACAACTGCATTGCAGCGTAAATGTCTTGCACGCGCTGTACAGCAAATGAATCGGTAGTTGTTGCGTTACGTTTATAATCTCTGACCGAGTCTCCAGATATTGACATTATAAAGTGTAATAATAAGGAATCGCGCTGTTAGTCTCTGTTGATACTGCAGCAGGTGTTGTGTGAAGCTCTGATGTTCTGCTGCTTCATGCTTTTCTGCTTCTAGTTGGTAAATTAATAAATTAAACTAATTAATTCTAGTTCTGATAATAAGAGCCATAATAAGACCAGAGCCGTTAAAATGCTTTTTTCTTTATTTAAAAAAATACGTCGCAAAAATGAAAAGTGTGTTGCAATAAATTAAATGTGATGTTAGTTCAGTTTACAGGGACTCTGCTCGTGATGTTTTTATAATCCTGTTCTGATGTTTGTAGATCAGGGATTCTTCTGGATGGGAAGATTTATTATTATTATTATTATTATTATTAGCATTAGCATTACTATTCAGCATTTCCACTGAGTTGTTTTTTTGTGGAGTGATTTTGTTGGATGAGATTGCAAGAAAGTAATTTAATAGCATCATCAGAACTAAACTGAAATGAACAGTAGATTGAATGAAACTGATTGATACAGCATTACTGAAGTCTAATAGTATAGAATCTGTAGTATTTTATAACTATGCAACATTAATATATTTAGCTATTTTTATTACCTGTTTTTTTGTCTAATAATATCTTTATTCCTGTCTTGACTGAACAGAAGAAGTGCTGTGCTGTGGATTGTAAAGCAGAGCTCTGGGACGTGTGGACCGACAGAGACTGACACACACTCCAGCATTCACTCATATCACAGAGACCTGGCTGGGATCAAACCAGCAACCTCTGAACCCGTGAGGCAGCGCTCTTACCTGTGAGCCACAGGTCTCTTGTGAGAGCACGTGAAGGAACTTATTTTTGACTGTTGACTTGTGAGTTCCCAATAAAGAAGTTAAAGTAAGCTGTGTACGTGATATAATGAGGTGAGATTTGAACCCATGTTTCCATCTCAGGTTTGTTCTCAGAGATTCCCATCGTGGATTTCACTTCGTGTTTTAGTGACTTTGTTGGATGAGATTGATTTACAGTAAGAAACAGTGGGATTTGAACTCAGATCTCCTGGATTCAAACACAAAGCTTTATCTCTCAAGCCACTGAGTGTTTTGAGAATGCCTTTATTGAGAATTTCATTTTAAATCATGGATAATTTCAATTGATGTGGGATTCAAACAAGGGCTTTTAGGTTTGAGATTGAAGTCTTTAACCACTGAGCCACAGAAGCTGCAATGTTGTGCTGGTGTTGTTTTTAGGGTCGTTTAGATTTTAGTTTTATTTTAATGAAGGTTTGGATGATTCAAAGACATTCAATGCATCAGTGGGATTTGAACACAACTGCGTTGCAGCATCATAAGTCAAAGTCTCATGTTTAGGCACTGCACTCCAGGTAAAATATGATTCTTGTCTTGTCTGTAGATTAAACCTCACTTTAAGTGACACAGGTAACCTTAAACTTGCTGAATTTGAACCAGTACTTCCCTAGCCGAAGGTGAACAACCAGCCTCTGTACCACAGGGATTGTTTTGTTTTTGTTTGTTTGTTTTTGTGCATTACCATATATTTCTATCAGTTTAATTTTTTGTAGTTTAAACCTCAAGTGTTGCGTTTTCTTTTAAATAATAAAATGATTAAAGCTATTACCATCATTGTAAATAACAATACAATTACAGTCTTTATCAGTCACTGGCATCTTACAACATTTTGAATAAACTTAAATACTTGTTTTAAATTATTCTTTATGAACGTTGTTGTTGATTTAAGAGTAGCAAGTTTTAACTTAAGTTTAAATATCAACATTTTAAAAAAAGTTTTCATTTTCCAGAGATTTTGAGTAATCATTGCTATAAAACTAGTCTAATAACTGGCATGCACTGTGCATCTCAAAGAGGGTGAGAGCAGAAGAACATGCTTCCAATGCAAAGCAATATCAACAGCCAATCATAACTTTTCCCACATCTGTACACTCCCCTTCGAGGAGACACACTCATCTTGATCTTGGTCTTGATCATTTTACAGCACAGAAGATTTGAACCAGGATTTTCTACAGGAGGACCACACTCACATCTCTGACACTGACACTTCTCATGAGCCTCGTGGGATCTCTGTAACGAGCAAACAGCCCTCAGAGTCTCAGGAACTCCAGACTGAAGCTCTTCTCATCTGCTCTGAGACTCATGAAGTTTGATCAGCCCTGAAAGCTCATTTATTCAAGATCAATCATAGTAACTTTTTCATTTTCAACAGATTTATGATTTATTAATTCAAGAGTTATTTAAAAGAGACACGCCAGAACATCCAACAAACTCAGAGAGACTTTATTTGCTTTATTTTTATTACTTTATCATACATATAACTGTTACTTTGCAAAGATAAGGTCATTTCTTTTAGACACCATTAATGAGAATGTTGCATGCCCTCTTGTGGTGAATTTGTGTATCGCACAATGCTGCAACTTGGAAACTTGGTCTGTAAACTAAATGTCCTTTAATATTAATTTCATTTTTTTTAAAACATGCAAATCAAAAGAACTTAACCAAACGCCCTCCTGTGGGGAATTATGTGAATTATATTGCTGCTATTAATTGCGGTTATAATTTGAGGCGTTGGCATTATATAGAATTACTATAATTTAATACATTGTTGATTATCCTGCTATTTACTAGGTGTTGATTACATTTACTAAATGCTCTCTCTTGATTAGCAGAAACATATTCTTAGATCTGTAAATTACAAAATTGCAGTCAGCGAAACGCAAATTACCGCCCTCCTGTGGTGAAATGTGTGAATGACAGCAGAGCTCCTATCACAGAGGGAGACTCTCAACTTTAGCTAACAATGCGTAATCATAGACTGCATAACAACGTGCGTAATGCGTAAATCAATGGAGGAGATGTCTGAAAACAAGGTTATTATGACAACAATAAGTATGCTGTACTTTTATATCTTCTTAGATAGGCTACAGTTGTAGTTGTTGTTGTTGTTTTCCCTCCTGAGCATTATTATGGTATTTCAAGTGATCGCCTGTGGGAAATTGAGCGAATTACATTTCGGATTTTTTTCTACTGCTATAACTCGAGTCAGAGGAAATCCTTGATTTATATTATTTTATACTTACATTATATTTAATAAATCATTGATTATCCTGTGCAGCAACAAAACATCTGAAAAAAACATATATTTGAGGAAATATATTCTTAAATCTATAAACTGAATACAGTAAAGTCTCTTAATATTAACTTTAATTAAAAATACTTTTGCATGGATTACACAATTCTCTTGTGCTTTTTCCTGTAGTGTGTTATCTGTAAAACATGCGAATCAAATAGCAAATTACATTGATTCGAATTACATATATATCCAGATATATATATATATATATATTTACAGCAGAGCAGTATAAAAAGCGTCTTAGGAAAACCTTGAATTATATTATTTTGCAAGCTTCAGAATTACTTAATGTTTTATTATTGGCAACATGACTTCTGGATAACGTATGTTTTTTAAAGAATATATTCTAAACGGCAATTAAATTAAGTCTTTTTATGGATCAACTGACCAGCGCATGATTACATTACGTTGTTTTTTTCCTAGGACTATAATTCGAGGCAAAAGGTAATTGTTTTAAATTAAATTAATATCATATGTATTTGCCAAATTTTTACATTGCTGTTGTTGTTCGTGGGACTATAATTTGAGCCAAAATATATTAGAATTGATTTAATATGTCGAATGAATAGTTTATTACCCTTTGATTTGGCAGAAGTTGATTAACGCCCTCCTGTGGTGAAATGTGTGAATTACATCAGAGCTCCTCCCGTAGAGGGAGACTCCCAACTTTAGCTAAAGCTGCGTAATGCGTATATCAATAAAGGAGATGACTGAATACGCTGTATAAACCGTTTTTACGAAAACAACTCGGCACATCATAAATTAAATGCCTGAGTGCTAATTTTCGACACTTTTGCATGTAATCGCTGCGACAAGTCCCAGCTAAATAGGTAAACTGTACCTTTAGCTCTTTCCCGATTGTCGCAGGCCACAGTTTTTCTCCTTTGATCCTCCTGAGCAGGCTGGTTTGATTCTTGTATGAATAAGTATTTATCCGATTTAAACTCTTCTCTGTTTATCTAAAATGAAGAAGCCCGTGTTTTTCTCCCACGTGGGAACTGTTACTTTTCTCAGCGCATCGTCAGGATGGACCAATCACAGTCATCTGTAATTACTATATATATAATATAATTACCTATGTAATATAATCATTTTACAAAAATACTCAGGTATATGACAGTATGTTTGCCAGATATACAGCCTTTTAATTAACAGATTTGAATAAACAAAAAACTGTATTAATAAAAAAACTTAATATTTATTTTCTTATTATATTTACTTATTTTTTGGTTATTTTTTAACTGTTTTTTCTTTCTAGTTATTAGAATATTCAGGAAGGTTCCTATTCCTCAGTTTATGAATATCACTCCTAAGTCTTACTGTATGATCAGATACATGTACTCAAACAGTGCAGGTTCATGTGGGGGGTCACAGCAAAAAAGATCCTGGTCTGACCTGAAAAGTTGGTGGATGAGTCCCATGTAAAAGCTCCCATGACCCGTCACTAGGACAACCCTAGATAAACAACAGCACACAACAAAGACCTCATAAAGGAGGAACACATAGGAGAGGAACGGCAGCTTTTGGATAGCATTTCTGTTGAAGCTGATTGCAAAATGAGTTTAAA